TAAAATCAATATATTTCTTCAACCATGGATGCTGTCTAAACTCTAATACTCGGTGAATCTTGGTCAGTTTCATTCCCAACTCTAAGTAAAGCTGCAAGTTTCTATAATGACATATATATTTCGTCTTGTTTTCTAGCGAGGGTACGAGTTTAGGAGTGGCAACACGTCCCCACAGTTTGTTGTCGGTATGTTTGAGACTGGGGTGTAATATTTTCCATAATTCTTTACTATGGGGAGATAACATTTCGTCAGAAATGACTTTGGTTTCCGGAGCAAGCGGATAGTCCGAATGGAGATTGTGTAGTTCTGGTGGGTATTCTAAATCTACTTCTAAGACGTATACCATGTCACCGTCTATGGGTATGTTTTTGACATTGAAATGTTCCACATTGTCAACCCACTGGAAATCTCCCATGGGTAACGGTTCGGCCATGGCCTTACCGTACAGGTTGTTACAATCTGTATAGATGTATAAATGTATTTGTCAGGTTTTGAGGAATCGTACGTCTCTGCTATGTAGGAATTGTTAGCCTTTGAGTATTTATTTGATATCATGGACACTCCACCCCGCACCCCGCTCTCGAAAAACAGATACATGTCAGGATCTGTCAACAATTCTAAACAAACTCCAGTCATTTTGAGTGCAGTACTCCATGCAAGTCCGGGACTTGTATAAAAATGAGCCGGGTCTAGCTTGTTATAATTCATACACATGGTTCTAAAATTTTCAAACACGTCTGCTAAGAGTAGAACGTCCGTTTTTAAATAAAGATCGTGATATTCTCCCAAATTTTGAATGTTCAATGTATTCCAGACACTCTGTGCATGCTCATAATCTGCTTTACTAATGTTTGATTTGCTCAGTTGACTGTAAAAAGACGACTTTGGAGGTAATGTCGTTTCGTCAAATCTATCTTCATTGCCCACGTATTCGTAAGGGTAAACCCCTTTTCTCAACAACAGGTTTGCATGCTCTACAGAAAATTCACTGGATAGATGTTTAAATGATCCCAATCCCTCTGAAGCTAAGTTTTTGACTAACGATTCTAGACTCTGAGACATGAATTGAAACGAATCTATAAATCGGAGATATCCCAAACTAAATGAAATGTATTTTTCCATATTACTGGGAATACACTTAATGTTAGAGTCTTTAAATAAGCCCATACTTTCACAGATGATGTGACCGTCGAACCCTTTAAGATTGTGAAATATGATGGGAATAAAAGAGGGATATTGAAAATTGAGATTGCAACCCTGACAACTCGCCCCTCTAAATTCACCCGTCAAATGGCAATGGTCTCTGACTTTGACATTTTGCGTAAAATATTGACTACATATGTGACACTTTGTGCTAGTTTGAAACTCTCGCTCATTTTCTAGAGACATGACTAAAGGTTCTACATGTTTTAAAATGTCTTGGATTTCCTTTTCTTCTTCTAGTACATGTTCCAGAAAAGTTTTTCTCACGTTTGAACCGCGATAAATGACGGGAGTTTTTTTTTACTTTTTATCTATGCTGATCACTTGATAGCCAAACCCACAGAGTTCCAATTTTGCATTTAGAGTCGTACTCGATTGTTTTGGATTGGGAAGACATGTATCCATTCTCTGAGCGAAAGTTTCAAAATCTGCATAGATGACAAACGGAACTTTCAACTGTTTCACAAAATCTTCAAATTCTAACATGTCTTCACCTTCTTTTGGAAGTTTTACGTGTTGTGGATCATGTTTAGAAGAGTACTGAATGTGATTGTCTAATAGATCATTTCTAATAAACCCTTGAAGACAATAATGGCAAAAATAAGTCTTATGCTGTGCCGATTTCGTTCTAAATAAAAACTTATCGAGATCCCTAATGAGACAATAATGACTTTTCTCACCTTGTTAGAAATGCAACAAATTGACATGATGACGTACTTGCCGTAATTTCGTAACATATAGGGGGAATATATCCTTATCCTCATATCCAAACACATTCACGGACATGTCATTTTGTCTTTCAAACTTTTCCACTTGCGATATTGTCACGGGGTAATGTATCCCAAACATGTTCAGTTCTGCTTCGTATTTATGTAGTTTGTCACTCGTTCCGGAACCTGATGATCGGGATGGAGAGAAGCCTAGATGGACCACAGGAAACACTTTTCGTCTTTGTTGACGATGTTGATGATGCTTGAATATCGGAAAGTGGCTGGTGTTGGTAGGTAGGAAGAACCACTCAAGGGTGAGAAGTTTGCAGTACTAATTTCCAGTTTCACTATTTTCTTGAGTCTCCAATTAGATCCCTCTCTCAGGTAGTCTTGGAATGAAACAAACATTTTCTGAAATGCTTCATTTAAATTATGGAGGGAAAATGTTTCATCGGGTAAATACATGTAATTTTTACTCCGGAAATGAGGGTAGGATTGTTGTTTGTTGCCTTCTTTATCTTCCTTTTCTAGTTCCCCCTGTACACAGAGGTACCACTTGATTCCGTGTAAAGAATGACACTGCTTTGTGATATGTTTCACAACTTCTTCTTTGGTGTTGCTAAAGAAGGTAAGTAAGTCAGCATTGTCAGCTTCGTTAGGGTAGATGGATCTTACATTAGCGGAGCCATTTAAGCTGCTTTCATCCGAANCATCAAACAGTCGTCTAGTACTATTATCTTATGTTTGTCTGTATCGGAAGTCCACTCCTCAAATTGTGTTTCGTCTAAGATTCCCTTCACGAACGTGATTTCTTTGATATTTCGTTTTAGTTCGTCAAACATGGGTTGCCAATTATCATAACAGATCAGGATCTTGGCTGTAGGTTGACTAAACAAACCATCGGCCTGCTCTAACATTTGTTTCATCAGAAATGTTTTACCGCTTCCAGAGCCGCCTGCTAACTGTATCGTGGCGGGACAGACGATGGGGACTAGACTTGTCTGTGACATGATTAAAACTAAGCATGGGTGAGTGATGTATGTATATTTTATTGATATTCTTGACAACATGATTGATACCTGCCAGTTTGAAAACAACATGAAAAAGAATGATTGATATAATCATATACCAATTCATCATTATGTTTATAATCATCACTAAATACATTAACAATAGTGCTAAGTGGTACATTTCAACATCGATTGAGTAAATAAAACAAACAGTAACGTCCAAACACGTTAGATATGACACTCTGTAATCGTGTTACATTAAATGATGTACAGTTTGGGAGTGAAAAGTATTGTGGTGGATGACCATAGCTATCAAAAAATATCCTTTTTTGTTGCCGATTCCATAAAATAAGCCACCCAATGTCGACCGATGACTTTTGTCAGTATTTACAATATATATCCGGTTGGAAATTGTTCTATGTTTTTCGGTATGTGATCCCTCGCATATACACCTATGTTTAGTTCTTTCATGACAGGATCACAATCGATGGCGCAACGAAGTTGATTGGCGTTCATGGTTTTAAAATGTCTCTTGCAGCGTTGATTTCGAAATAGTCTGGATACTCGGCGTAGACGATGCAGCTGATGGCTTTGGATAGTGTACTTCCAAATGTGACTTCCAGTCTGAAGTTCCCTTGTTTTAATAAGGTAAGATACTGATTCCCTTGAAAAATGGGCTCCAAATTAAATGTGTATAACGAATAACCGCTGGAAATGTTTTCCCTGTCGATATCTAATCCGCAATCAGATAGCCATCTTCCAGTTGTTTTGAACATGTTCCTGAGGACTGGAATGGCGGTCTGACCGATGCTTGTATCATAATCCAGTTTTATGGTGCTACCGCCAACAGGTATTCCATCCACATAGAGGCCTATGGATGTAACATTGAATGGTTGGAAGAACCACGGGTTTTGATTGTATGCCCCCGTGAAGGCGGATGCATTCACAAAGCCTACGGTGATAAAATTGGGTCTCATTCCTTGAGATATGTTGTCATACGTAAAACTAGTCCCACCAGCAGCAAGAGTGACGTGTTTTAGAATACTTTCTGTAAATGGATATTTTGCAGTAGTTGTTGTCAGGGCTTGACTTTGGGCATATATGACGACAGGGTTCACTTTAACTTTAGCGATGCGTAGTCTAACATCTTCAAACTCAATTTTGTAGTTGGGAGTTTGTTCACCGGGAAGTAGGCAAAATTCTTGTTTTGATCTGTACATCTTCACATTTACGTTGACTTGATTGAGTAAATATCTATCCATTCTGAACAGATCGCGAAATATGGGACCTTCCAAATCGACAACTTTGCCACCTTCGAATAATTCGGTTCTTTCTAGTAAAGCTAAATTATTTCCCGTCCTCACATCTGTATCATCCATTTCTCCATCAGTATCTTTATGCCATAACTGTGTCGTTAACTGTGTTGTTTTAGCACCGTTTCCATACTTCAATAATGTCTGAATGTATGCCTTGTATGCATAGTTAGCAGTTGTAGATATCACGGTTCTTCCTTGAAGTGTGACATCTACTTGTGAAAACAGAGCAGGTAGCAAAAAATTGACGGGGCCTACGTCTTCAGTAGAGCTGATATTTGATCCATCTGCCTTTTTTATCTTTATTTTAGCATACACGAGGGAAATTTTCATGTCGATGTATTCCATACCATTTTGACCGGAAATAATAAATTCTACGGGTGAATCACCAGTCATTTGTGATATCGGTAGTCCGTCTTGATAGTATACATTTTCGACGGCTGTCTGTGTTGGTGGTAATTCAAAAAGTTCCAGTTGTGAAGGTTTAGCTTCTCTGAAAAAGTCCTTGTTTATTGTAGCCATGATGATAATAAATCGTTCTTAATAGACTTGTATAGGTTTACGTTTTTGTGTAAGCTTACGTTTTTGTACAGGCTTACGTTTCTTAACCTGTTTGGTCTTTTTCCCCGAGTTACTTGTTGGTTTTCTCTGAGCGGTCTGTACCCTTCGACGTTTCCTGGTTGAATGAGACGGTGTCAATTTTCTCTTTCTTTTTAACTCTGATTTGGCCTGATCTGCTATTTGTTGTGACGGTGATATCATGTTGATGTCGAGATTATGTGCGGGTAAGGCTTTCTCTCCGTCACTGCTATACTTGTCAATGGGAATGATGAATTCGGTTGTGTTACCCGATATACCTCCACCCCTTTGTTTTACATCTTGTATATCTGTATAAGGAATAATCTTACCATCGGTAACCTTTCGATAATACTGTAGCCACTTACCCACAATGGGTACGTATAAGTTAGAAACTTTCATCTGCAAAAAGGGTAGGCTTTAAACTGAAGTGTAATCGTTGCTGGACTTTTTAAGAATGAAGCAAAGTTCCCGACACTGTCTTTTATAGATATTTCTATATCTCTGATTTCGGACTTTTTTTACAGGAATGTGCTGAGGAGTGTCAAGTGTTTGGCTCCAGTTTGCAACTTTTTGAGCTTTCACCATTCGAAGTAGATTCTGCTTCTCACCATCAATTACGGATTCTCCAACGAGATCGCAATGTATGTATAGATTTTCTCTCGTTTTTGTATTACTCGTTGTTATACAGATGTCAACGAGTGCTACGTTCCATATACCGTTCAGAGTAATGGGTGAATTCAGTTGACAGCGGAAATGGTATGGTTTGTTGTTAGGAAAGTAGTCGAGATTCTTGTTACTGTTGATGATTACGTAGTGTGACATGTTAGCTGTCTGTGACGTCTTTGACATCTTTCTCGGGGATTCATTTGTTATATTTAGAGGGCCACCCCTCAAACTGGACAAACCACTCGATTTGACCTCCCCTCTTACGTTTGCGTATTTTTTTTTCGATAAACCATAATGTTTGTTCATCTTTTTCGACTCGTTGTAATACTGCCTGATAAAAAATTCCCCTGTATGGTATCTCATAGAAAGTCTATCAATCGATATAGGGGTATTCCTTGCATAAGAAATCTTTTGTGTATCTTGAATATTTCTGATGACCATTGCTGCTGATAGGCACGCTTAAAGAGCTGTTTCGTATGTGATATACGAACCAAACTTCCTATCTTGAATTTGTAGGGATTGGGTTTTTTCGTTTTAAATGTCTTTTTCTGATTTTTAAGTTTCTTTTTCCTCAAGTACATGTAAGCAAAGAGATCTGCTTGATTATTGTCATTTACATCCTTTGGGGTTGTTCCATTGAGGGAGCGGTGGGGTGTAGCATTATACGAATCAACAAATTTCTGTAACTTGTCGATGTACTTATAGGTCCTATATTTGGTGAAGTAGCGAAATATCATGGTTTTAAATGTTCTATTAACACGCTCTACCATGGGGGCATGAATTTCGTTTTGTGTGGTGAAATGATGAATGTCGTTATCGAGACAATATTTTTTAAACCAGCGATTAGCATATTCTTTACCCAAGTCTGAATGAATTTTCTTAGGGATTCTACCTCTCTTGATTATTTTCTTGAATGCTTCTAATACCTCTTTTGCTGTTTTTGTTTTGATAGGTTCTACCCAGAGAAAGCGTCTGAACACATCGATAACCATCAACAGATATCTCACACCTGAGTTATGTTTGGCAAGTGAGGTCATGTCTAATAAATCGGTGTCGTATTGTTCGAAAGGTTCTCCTACTTCTACACGTGCGCGTTTAAATGAACGTTTGACAGGTTTTTGTAGACTGTAATCGTCGAGACTTTGAATGTATCGTTTGATTTTATGTAAACCTGGAGAGTTATGTCCTTGTGATTTCAGTATTTGATGAACTTTTATTGGACTTAAGAATGTTCCACCGTTATTAAAATTATAATAAATGTTATCCACTCTCTGTTTTTCTTGCTGTGTCAACATTTTCTGTAACGTAATATATTGTAAACGTGAACATCTATGTCATTCAGAATATATGAAAGAGAACAACATTTTGTTAAAATATAAAACTTATGATAAAAAGTATGTTCGTTAACACATAATATAATGATTTAAATGTACATATTGATGTTCGCGTTTACAATTATATAACAAAAACAAAAACAAAATGATGGTTAAGATTTTAATACATACTCAAGTTGATGTCTCAGAAGTCTCCACATAAATGAATACACATGATAAACGTTATGGTTTTATAAAGCGACTCTCTAACATAGATTGAATGATTTCATCAATCTTTTTTCTTTGCCATAGTTCTTTCATTCGTCATTTTAGCGGTTGATTTAAGTTTACATATCAAACAAAGAGTTTCAGTCTGACAATGTCTATTTTCTACACAAACTTGAGAATTTTTCTACTGAAATGTTGTTTCACATAGTTTTCAGAGCGGAAACACTCCTCTTCCATTAAAGGTTGTAACACGTGTGAAGGAATACAGGACTGAATAGTAAATTGACGCCACTGTTTCTCCACTTCTAAATGGTTGACGGTTGACAGGGCTTCTTCGAAATATCTATCTACTATGTCTTCACTATCAAGCATGACGCAGTCGTGTCCTTGCTGGTTAGCTTGACCCTCCACACATCCTCCACATACAAACAATTTCGATATGACGTCTTTCACACTCATAGCGTAGGCTAAGCATAACAAGTTTTTTACAATTTTCTCATAAGCTTTTTCCTCGATACGACTTCTCATGTAGGATAAGTCTCTCCTCAAATATTTCCATTATCAATTAGTACGATGCTGTGTAGCCTTAGAGGTGTAGGGGTATGATCAATTGTAAATACACACAATCGGTCAAACACTTTTTATGCTCGATTTCGACAGAATCGCAGGATATCCAGGCACTCAAATGTGCTCCACACATGAAACAGGTGACTTTATCGCTATGTCCTGAATAAAAAAAAACCGTTACGGGCGAGTTCGTTTGGAGTCTGACGCATTTGTTGGGGCCAGTTTTGGAACGTTTGTAATCGATCCTCACTTTTTATCATAGACTGATATTTCGGTTGAATCTGATAATGACGGATACAATCTGTTGTAATATCTGACATGTTAGTGTATTAAGGTGCAAACACACTGTAAACTCTCTGACAGAAACAGTATCTTTTTAAAATGGTCTCCTGTTATTTGTATGCATATCCCGTCTTCTTTTAAAGTTATTCTCAGCTCACCTTTGACCTTTTTCACGATGATTTCTTGTGTGATACCTAGACGACAGTCTACTTTACTGTGCGATATGTTTGTCAGTGTGAAGTCGTCTGTGACTATCCGATTGATGATCTCTTGAGCCATTAGTGGTGACTACAAATGTTTGCTTGGTATATATACACAATGTTACCCTCGCTGTGGACATGTTCGATCTTGCTAAAAAGGTATTACCTGTTGCGACTTGTTTATTTTAAGAACTAATATGTGCACAAAGTTGGTGGACGTGTCCAATCTTGTTTGTTAACCTGTCATAACTTGTTTCTATCTATAAATAAACGTGATGGCATCAATCCAAATATGAGGGATGAGGGCCTGACTCCATGACCTTGATTTAGCAACTTTTACATTCCAAAGAGGGGATTTACCGCTAGGCAATTACATTCCAATGACGTTTTACCGGGGTCAGATCATCCTGCATGTGGGTGGTCTTTCCAAGGTTACCTCCTTAGGCTATACATTCCAGGGATTTCCCCTATTGCATCATCTGACCTAAATACCACCGTCACATCCTCCTTTTAAAGGGTATTAAGGTCAAAGGTCACATTACGTCATCGCCCTGGGTCAAATGTTATAAGGAGATGTTTAAAAGGAGATGTGGCGGCGGTATTATACCCCTATGAGGGTCAGTAAGGTCAGCGGAGGGTCAGTGAAGTTTTCTGTGAGGTCAGCGGAGGGTCAGTGGGGGTGTCAGTGAGGTCAGCGGAGGGTCAGTGGGGGGTGTCAGTGAGGTCAGCAGAGGGTCAGTGGGGGTATCAGTGAGGTCAGCGGAGGGTCAGTGAAGTTGTCTGTGAGGTCAGCGGAGGTTCAGTGGAGTTGTCAGTGAGGTCAGCGGAGGGTCAGTGGGGGTGTCAGTGAGGTCAGCGGAGGGTCAGTCGGGGTGTCAGAGAGGTCAGCGGAGGGTCAGTGGGGGTGTAAGTGAGGTCAGCGGAGGGTCAGTGAAATATTGTCAGTGAGGTCAGCGGAGGGTCAATGAAGTTGTCAGTGAGATCAGTTTAGAGGTCAGTTATATCAGTAGAGTTTTCAGTGAAGTTGTCAAGAAGGTCGGTTGAAGGGAAAATAAGCCAAATATTAAAGTAAATTAACATAACGACTGATTTCCCCAAGACAAATTAAAAACGATGGCAACACACATGGGATCGGAAACGTCAGTGTAGAAATCAGGACTTGATATCTGTCTGTTCGATCTATAAGTTATAGTCGTTTCGCGGAAGTTACAGCGCAGAATCTACGAGATATCGCCTGATTAAATATGTAAGCCTTATAAAACTTCAAATTTTATTCTTTTTTGATTCCATGAAAACATTAAGCCATGGATTTCTCTATTTTAGTTAAACCGAGAAAAAGGATTTTTTATAACTAGAATAATTCATAAGGATCTGCTGTATGTTTTGGGGTAAATAGCTAGTTGGGGAAATATTACAACTAATATTCTCAAAAGCACTTTTACAAATACTAGTACATGAGATACATCACAACCTATACATTAGAGTACACTATCACAGTACTGACACTCGGGATCAGACTACTCACTATAACAATATAATAAAACACAAGTGTTAATAAAAATCAGCATGTAATCAATGGAACATAACTCTTCGGCAGTTGTTAAACTGTCATTACCCACCAGGAAACACTGCTGGACTTAAAATTCAGGTAATGGGTTGGTAACAAAATATCAATAATAATTCGTTGGAATCTAACAATGTATAGATTTTGGATACCCCTACTGGTACCCGGTACATAAGTACATATTACAGGTAAAACAGGTATATATATTAAAAACAAGACTATTATTTTGGATCAACAGTATAGGATTCAGATCAACTGTATAGGGTTCGTAAAAAGGATCCTTTATCAGAATCAACTGTACGTGTATAGGATTCGTCAAAAAGATCTTTTCTATGAGTTTATTCATCATTGAGGCTTCTCTGCATATGAAGTTTCATGAAAATCTTTATATAGGACCTTTTCTGTGGCATCCTCGCGATCGATCTTCGAGGGGTTGCGCTCATTTTCTCTCTCTGCACCCTGGAATATGTCATATCAAAATTGTTTGCTCAGAATGCGTCACCTTTTGGACAAAACAAGAAGACTATATAGCTAGCTTGATCCTTTCATGTAAATCCAGATAATTTCGCGGTCGCATAACGCTAATATGTACTGGCTTTGAAGTCGGGTGGCGCTCCTTTGTAATACTCAAAGGACAAGAAGCAGCGATCTGTCTGATTTTTTCATCTTAAGTGAAAACAATCAGACGTGTCTGCAATTTTTGCTATGTCATATTCCAGGGGTGCAAAGAGCGAAAGTTAGCGAAACCCGCGGACGTTTCTGGAGATTAACACACTGAAAATCCCTATTTAAATCAAAGCTGAAACAATTTCTATTTTACACCCTGTTGTTAAATATTTCCTTAATTGACGGAACGTATATTGGCGTTTTGTTGTCAATCCGCCGCTCAATAGACTTAATCGGGCTTGTATTTCAATGAATTATATTAGATTTGCCATATTTTTTGTTAAAGATGTCTTTAATTTGGTTTGAGATATTTTTGTAGTTTTCACTTCTTTCTATCGTTTTTTTTCGAAATAATGACTGTTACGTTTCTTGTAAGAAAGAAAAATATACACATTTATTAAAATTGAGATATCTAATCAAAATGCAGGTACCTCTATAATTATAAGGCATGACGATTTACCCAAAAACACCCAAAACGACAATAAACAAATGATTTAATCAAAGTAAAATGTAGGGTTCATACTTTCTTCTGAAAAAAAACACAGCGAAGTATTTAAAATAATCAAGAATAAAAAATTCTTTCAACATTAAATATACGATCAATACTGAATATCTGCATTTTGCATACAGATATTTTTAAATTGAGATATTTTAACGAATAATGTATTTCAAATGAATAATGTGAGCTATATTAAAATAACAATAAAGATACATTTCTTTCTATTCTACATGGAAACATTTCGTAAAAGTAAAAATATATATCTGTATTTAATGAATAAAGATGAAAACTGGCTTGTCATACGTTCACTTCTGTTAAAAGCATATTCGGGGACATCGTAATGTTATTTAGCTGTATTATTATTTCATGGGATTTGGACATCCAAACGGCTAGTCATACATTTGTGTTAAATGAATATACAGAGACAAAACGATATCTGTACCGTCAGGTCATATCATGCATATTCATAATTTCAAGACTAATCCTGATGGTTATTATGCAATGGATATAGATATATCTATTGTTGACATTTAATTAACAAGCTTTCATAACAATAACATTGTTTCTGTTGATTAATTATCTAGATCAATTATGCTCAAAAATCCTTACATAGAACAGAGACGTATATATCAAAATAACAATAATGTAATATATACGTCTCTGCATAGAAGAAGTAATTTCTACGTCTGGTTGTTTTGGGACTTTGGGACGTTTGTGTGGTGATGGGGTAGATATGCTCACCCAAGGGAAAAGGGGCAATGGTTCCTCTTAATTTTGATATCGCCACCCTGACCAACTATATATTTGTGTTATACTAGCAACATGTTCAGAAAATGAGGTGTTAAGCGGTTACTTGTTTGTAATATATATTATGTTTAAGTATTTCGCCAAATCTTTTTTTTTTTTTTTTTTTTTTTTTTTCAATTTGCCGTCGAGATGAATACGTTTCTTTTTACTATAACTAATTGTTACCAAATTCCTTTAAATTAATTTATGTGCTTTTCCCTTTTGTTCTTGATATGTAAAAGAAGCCCCGATTTCTTTTATGATTGAGGTATGCTTCTCCCTAGACAAGCAGTTTTAATAGTACTTTTAAACAATATTGAGCCCCCATTCTATATTATGAAAAATACATTTCTTCATCTGTATTTAAGAAGATGTCTTTTCACAACACAGCCCTAATTTTCTCTTTTAAGTTACATCTCTCTACATCTCTATTACTATCAGCCAGAGGGAACTGTTTTCAGTACTGCATCAAATTCTTGTCATTTTACTGTGTGGCAGTACTGCGTACGTCGAGAAATGTTTGCTTACATTGTGTGCTAGCTTAAGAATATAGTATCACAACAAGGATCGATGCCTAGAAAACTCCACTACACACTGGAAATACCCTTTAGTAATAACCGTACACATTGTATTAACAAAATGAAAGTAGGAAAACCCGCCTGGTCAAATACATACCGTACGTGTCAGCTTTGTATGGTTATATAGCAACGGCTGTCAACAGACAAGACATTATACACCCAGTTTGTACAGAGATCTGGTACGTTTATCCACGTCAGAACCTAACAGGCATGATGTCTGAAATATACATATCGAGTGCGGAGTCGGAAATATTAAAAGGATATTCATTTATTCCGTACAATGTTTAATTCTAGTGGAGTGGGGGGAAATGTGATAAATGCGGTGAATCGATAACAACTTTCATAACAAGTTACATTCTGACAATATTCACAATGATTGAAAGGACGATAAACAACCTCTCTACTTGGATTATCCAGGAAACATCACAAAATATCTCGACCCTGGTTTTCCGCATACAATCTTGGAATGTTCCTTAATTGAACCAACTCTGGTAAGTTATCAAAATATTTCTTTCAAATATTTTATAACGCGCTTATATAATATTCTTTTCATAAAACCGTACATGTCATGTACAGAGTCATAAATTTATTGAGGCGTACATACGACCACGGTACAGCCTGTACTGAAATATCGGCCTTGTTGATACATGCAAGTAACAAAGTCTCACCACAGACAGGATTTTCTGATTAGTATATGGAAAATAATCACGAACCATTTTGCCTTTTATTTCTTTAAACTTCAGTTTTAGATTCTAACATTTCTTATGTGTATGAGGCATGAGTAGTCATTTAGGTTAAGAGGTGAGTGGTGGTGTCAATGAGGTCAGTTGGATTGTCTTTGATGTCACTGGAAGCGTTAATGTGGTCATCGCTATTGACAGTTAGGTCACTGGAGGGGGCAGTGAGATCAGTGGGTTGATCAGCGTGGCAAGAAGAGGGGTCAGCTAGTTCAGTAGAGTTGACATAAAGGTAAGTAGTGTTGTCAGTGATATATGTTAGGTAGGTCAGTAGAGAGGTCATCGAGGTCCATAGAGTTGTCAGTGTGATCTGTAGAGTTGTTTTGAGATAGTTGAGGTTGTCAGTATGGCCGATGGAGAAGTACGTGTGCTCAATAAAGAGGTCAATGAAGCAAGTAAAGGGAGCATTGACGTCAATTTTGTAAGTCAATCACGTGTTGATGTCAATGGAGGGGTCAGAATAAACAGTAGACGGGTCAGTATATTTGTCAGTAGAGTTGTCTGTGATTTTATTGTAGCTGACAGTTAGGTCAGTAGACGGGTCTGAGAAGTCATTGAAGTTGTCACTGTACTCAGTAGAACTATCAGTGTCGTGGGTAAAAGCGTCAGGGATGTCAGTGGTGTATCTGTCAGTGAGGTCGGTGGAGGATTCATTTAAGTCAGTGGAGAATTAAGTTGGTTAACGTTAGGGACATTAAGGTAAGAAAAGTTGGTCAGTAGGTCAGTGAGGTATGTAGAGTTCTTAGAGTGGTCAATAGAGCTTAGAGTTAGGTCATTACAGGGGTCAATAAAATTACAGAAGTTTTCACTGTGGTCAGTTGAGTTGTCTAAGAGCATTGGAGCTTGGTGTTGTCAGTGAGTTTGCGAGGTCAGAGAAGTCAGCAAAGGTGCCATTGGAGCATATAAGTGATAGGGCTATGGATTATAAAAGATATCACACTAGTACCAATTAAATAAACGTAAACCCGAATGTCTAGGATGCACACACTTACACTTTGAACTGACGGTTCGAATCAAAGATTTCAGATTGAGAATGTATTAACAAAGTTCAGACAGGATTGCGCGGATTTAATATTGATTACATATTTTTTTTAAATTATCCTGTAGCGTTTATTTGTATTATAAGGTACACATATTTGCTAGTTTATAATGTACGTTGTAACTCAGTCACACAGGTGCAAGAAATATTGAATAGATGAGGGAGTTGTTGGTCTGTGAAAGTTCAAGTGTGATGCAAAAACGAAAAACACGACCTATAGACTACTATACGCCACGTAAAATAGCAATGATTCAGCCACCGAATCACATTTCGCTAAATGCAAAATATCAGTTGATCAGCTCGTTAAGCTTCTTATTCATACAGAAAATATATGATGTATAAAATACATGTATTATTCGAAAAAAGTTCAATGCATTATCGCATATCTTTCATTACTAAAGAAAGTAGGTTCGAAATAACAAATAGTCTCCGATAATGACCTTGCAGTTTGTATACCACATATTTATTTATTTTGCTAAGTGGTAAGTAATAACAACACGTTTCCTGATGTATTTAAGTTTAGTAAATTGACCGAAAAACAAATGCATAATTATGTTGTCAGCTGTTTAATATTACTAGTTTTGTAATTGGATATTAAAGGTCAATATTAACGTAAACTATAACCACAAGGAATTCCAACGTTGTAGATTGCGGTTTGATACCTTAGTGGTTTATTGTTTATTTTTTTATATTCATTCAGTGTGCATGTACAGTGTTTGTATGAACGAAACTGTTTTCGGTGCTGCATTAAATTCTTGATCTTTTATAGTTAGGCAGTACTGCGCACGTCGAGAAATGTTTGCTAACATTGGGTCCTAGCTTAAGAATATAGTGTCACGACATGGATCGACGCTTAGAGACCTCCACTACACACTGGAAATACCCTTTAGTAATACCCTATACACTGTATATACAAAATGAAAGTAGGGAAAAACCCGCCTGGTTGTATAAATACCGTACGTGTCATCTCTGTATGGTTATATATCAACGGCTATCAACAAACAAGACATTTTACAGCCAGTTTGCACAGGGATCGGGTACGTTTATCCACATCAGAAACAAACAGGCTTTGATGTCTGAAATATACATATCGAGTGCGAAGTCGGAAATATTAAGTGGATATTCATTTATTCTGTACAATGTTTAATTCTAGTGGTTAGGGGGAAAATGTGATTGTTTTGTTTTAGACAAAAATGTCGTGAATTGATAACAACTTTCATTACAAGTTACATTCTGGCAGTATTCACAATGATTGAAAGGACGATAAACATCTTCTCCACCTGGATTATCAATGGTACTTCACATAATATCGTGACCCTGGTCTTCCCCATTCAATCTTGGAATGTTCCGTAATTGAACCAACTCTGGTAAGTTTATCTTCCAAATATTTCATTTCCATACACATATATGTAAACAGATAAAGTGATCCAAATAGGATTTATATCCTGACCTTAATATAGATAAAAAAAGTACGCTGACATATATATTGAAACTGCTTTGATGTTTTAAAAAGATTAAGGAATACACATATAAAGAATTACCGAATATCCACGTTATTTTTAAAACCACATTCATAACCTCGTTTTTTAATTCAATTAGTTACTTTTGATTTGTTTATTAAACAAATTTTGATCAAAGAAAGGGAAATATAAAAGTTGAAATTCAACAATATAATCATTAAATGATGCGTGCATCGACTTTTTTCTAATATATTTTTTCGTCATTTAACCTTCTGTCATACTTAAGAAGAGGTTTTTACTTAAAGACAAAATTAAAATAAAAAATTCGATCGTTTTTATCCTTACGGACCCTTACCCTGTTTTCCTTCAAATATATTCATTACAAAATAACTTTGCCGTTGCTTATGTCAAATAATAACTATTTTTTTCATTTTGAACGACGTCTTTCTAACCTGCCGGAGTATATAATTGTTTTGCCTAGATAAATTTCCTGACGTTTTGTGAGATGATTAAATTCCATGTACCTGTACTTAAGACTGTTATATGATAAACCACTCTTTAACCTTTATAGTACCGCCTCAGTTGCCTCAAGAAAAAGATTTTTAAAATGTTTCCCTTTATAATTAACAAGTATATCTACTTTAAACATGGATTGTTTTATCATCTGAAGCTCAGAGACGCATCACAAAATTAAAACAAGAATTACATTAGGTTTCGAAAATAGGATGTCACAACGTTTTCTAAAATGGATATGGGGATACTATAAAAGTACACAAAATTTACAAACATTCTCAAAATCAATAAGTATAGGATGTTACATGATGAGTATAGGATCACACAGCTACCCAATACAAAATACACCAGGTCAGAAATAGATCCATGTCACGCACATACGCTTAGTTACATACACCGTTATTGAAGGTTTTACGAAGGTTCAATGCATACATCATAATGAAGCAGATATATATTACTACCCAAACAAAGTACACCAGGTCAGAAAAAGGTCCGTGTCATGAACACACGCTTAGATACGTACGCTGATAATAACGGTTTGACGAAGGTTCAATGCATACATTATGGTGGAGCAGACTCTACTACCCAATACAAAATACACCATTTAGACATGAACATTTGACTTGAAGCCTCCAGTATACACCGGCAATTCACGTCAGTTATATCAATATGGTAGTTACCAACCCTGTCTACGCATATAGCAACTACTGTCAACAATTCGATGTTCCGAATGTGTACTGAAAATACTCTGGTGAATTGGTTACAATACACAATGCAAGTTATGCATTACATTTTTACATTATTCACAGTGATGGTAAGGAAGAAAAAAGGTTTACCTGATTTATGCATGTTGCTATAAATCTTCTAAAAATATGTTCTTTAAGTTTTTAAACTTCTTTCATTTAAATGCTACTTTTTCACATATACCGAAGAATGGCTCGACTGATTGTTATTTGAGTTGTATAGTCTGATCTTTATACAGATAAATTTTAATTCCTTTAAACAGCTTCATGTTTTGCTCAGCTGGTCTGGAGCGCCATGTGAGCTTATGCGGTGGACTGGCGTATCTTATCCGTCGAACGTCAACATCTACTCTAAACGACTTCTTTTAAAAAGCAGGGGGCCTAGAGGCTTCGGATAATGATATTTGGACAGTAGCATTTTGGGAAGGGCTTTAAAATTTGTTCATATGAATAACCTTCATCCTTATTCAATATCACAGGGGGTCAAATGTGTTAAAACTTTTAACGACTCCTTCTAAGTAACCGAATGGTCTAGTGAGATAGTATTCGGAGAGTAACATGTTTAAACCTTCACTTTATTCAAGGTCACAAGCTGAAATGTGTTAAAACATTTGAACGACTTCTTCTGAATAGCAAGGATGTCAGTAATGATGACGGGGTGCTTAAATTCAAGACTTTTACCCATATCAAAGGTAACAGGGGTAATTGTGCTAAAAACTAACTTCCTAGAGGTATAAGAAGATGATAATCGCCCAGTAGCAGTATTGTATGAATCACTTTAAAATTTGATCAAATGAATGACCTTTGTTCATAACAAAACCTTCATTTATACAATATGTATTTCACTTTGAGAGATGTTTTATATCAGATAACCGCTTAATGCGTCCACCATGGCTATTAGTGCATCTAACATACTAATATGAGTTACACAACTACCCAATTTATAGAATAACCAGCAACAATAGATCAAACATACAAACATTCTATTAGTGATATTAA